CAGGAGGGACAGGTGATTCTAAATTCTGTTAAGTTGACAGCAGCTAATCACCAAAGTGGCCATGAGGATTGGCCACTAAGACTGATCCTTGACTTCCACATATACACACACTCACACATATCTGCAAGTACTGCTCTTAAACATGTACATTCACACACAAAGGAAATTTGTTTATTATTTTATTTATTCAAGCAGGCATAGTAGGAGGCAACAGGAAGGTCTCAGAAAATGATTGGCAGGGAAAAAGGAAGTGGCCAGGAAGACTCACGGTTCAGAAGGCTGAGAACCCAGTGAAAGCAGTCCCTGATAGATCAGAAGCCCAGACCCTGACTAGTGGGTCAGACTCTGACTCTCACTAGCATCCCCAAAGAGGTAGATAGTGGCTTCCTGTGGCAATCAGGTAGGCAACTACCTTTACAGGGGGCCACTTCCATGGTCTATGAAATACATTTCTCCAGAGGGAGGGTGGAGACAGGACCTAGCTGGAGGGTTGTGCCTGGGAAGGAGATGATGACATGGATGGAAAGTAGGGAGGGATTATAAGCATCTGGAGACTCTGTAGAAAGGAGTTGAGTCAGGGACATCAGATGACCTGGAGCATCAAGAAAACTGAAGGCCTAAGTTCAGATTTTTAGATTTTGCATTGGCAGCACACGGGGGCACAACAGCTGGACTGGCAGCAGCAGGGGTTGCAGCAGCTGGACTGGCAGCAGCAGGGGTTGCAGCAGCTGGACTGGCAGCAGCAGGGGTTGCAGCAGCTGGACTGGCAGCAGCAGGGGTTGCAGCAGCTGGACTGGCAGCAGCAGGGGTTGCAGCAGCTGGACTGGCAGCAGCAGGGGTTGCAGCAGCTGGACTGGCAGCAGCAGGGGTTGCAGCAGCTGGACTGGCAGCAGCAGGGGTTGCAGCAGCTGGACTGGCAGCAGCAGGGCTTGCAGCAGCTTGTCTGGCAGCAGCAACAGGGCTTGCAGCAGCTAGACTCACAGCAGCAACAGGGCTTGCAGCAGCTGGACTGACAGCAGCAGGGTTTGCATCCCCCACAGGAGCCACAGCCTCCCTTGCAGCCCCCGCAGGAACCACAGCCGCCCTGGCAGCCCCCACAGGAACCACAGCCTCCCTTGCAGCGCCCACCGCTGGAGCAGGAACAGGCAGGCACACAGCAGCACCCAGGCTTGCAGCAGCTGGACTGACAGGGGGGGGGTTTGCATCCCCCACAGGAGCCACAGCCTCCCTTGCAGCGCCCACCGCTGGAGCAGGAACAGGCAGGCACACAGCAGCACACAGGCTTGCAGCAGCTGGAGCCACAGCCCCCACAGCAGGAGCCACAACCTCCGGAACAGCCACAGCAGCTCATGGTTCTGGTGTTGGGTTGAGGATGGAGTAGGTCAGATGAGCAGGTGTAGAGAGAAGTGTGCAGGTGTGGAGTCCCCTGAGCCTGGGGCCTTTATATCCCTGTCCATGGTCAGGTGGGAATTTGCATGCAGCATTTCCTTGTGACTTTTTGTGGGTCCTCCAGATCCTCATGTTTTCCCCATGCAGTGACTTCCTGCTGGCTCAGCTGTACATCCTTCTCTTTGTTTTTTATAGTGCTTGTCTTTGTTTATTTGTTTGTTTTTTTTGTCCCCACCTTATTGGAGCCCAAACTCCAGGTATTTAGGATGATCATGTGACCCATAAGAACACCATGTTTTTCAAATGTATATACTTTCATTGTTGACTGTTCCCTGATATCATTTCTTTTATATTCTAATTTTCAAGTCACCTGTGGTGTTTCATTAGAAACAATAAAGAAGAAAGTAAAGGAATCACCACCCTGTTACTTGGTTGCTCTCTGTAAGCGTGCCATACATAAATTAAATAGACATTCCCAGGCCTGTTTGCCTCAGTTTCTTCATGCCTATATCAGCCTCAGTTCTCCTGTGAGTGCAAACTCAACCCGTTCTCACACCTGTAGTGGGATCCTTTTCACTGCCAAACCTGTCTGACCATCAGTCTCTGGCTATTTCCTCATTGTCCCCTTCGTGCCCACTCCTCTGAGGCCACTACCAGTCAGAATCTGTGTCTCTGCTCATCTTGGTTCCATAGGGTAGATGTTCTTTCTGTTGACAATTGGCTGTGTCTCCTAACTCAGGTGCTGGAGACCACTCCAATGCAGTTGTGCTAAGGTTTCCCTGGGATGGTGTCTCCACTCTCATGAGTGGGTCCTTGTCGCTGTGAAAAGGGCTAGCAGCTATGGTGGTATGGTTTTCTGCCTGTCATGCGAAGACACAGCCAGATGGACCATTCCAGATGTGGGTGGCTTTTTTTCTTTTTAAAATAATATTTTATTTATTTGTTGACAGTTTCATCTATGTATATAATGCGTTTACTCTCTTCCATTCTCTCTGGGATCCTTCATCCCATTATGTCTATTTCCTTATTTATCCTCTCTCTCTCTCTCTCTCTCTCTCTCTTTTTGTGTGTGTGTAGGTCAGTGGATATCCAGTGAGAGTTAGAGTTAGTTATCTCCTTCCACCATGTGGGTACTGGGAATTGAATTCAGGTTGTCATAGTTGGTAGCAAGTTACTCCTGGAGTCATCTCACTGGCCTTTACTTATTTTTAATAATCTGCTGAGTCTAAATAAGCTTATTTTCATGAACACAAGGATGCACTTATTTACTGAATCACGTGCAACTTACCAGAGGCTATTATCACTGAAGAAAAATAACTTTCCACCTCCGAGCAGCCTTTAACTGCCAATGGCATCACAGCTAGGCATATGTCCTTCCCTTACTCGTTAGAATGCTCTCAGATTCAATATTGCGTAGGTCTTGTGCAGGCAACCATGACTGCTGTGAGTTCATGAGTACAACATCCCTGTCATGTCCAGAGGACAGTTCCACAGCCTCTTCCCATCCTCCTGCTCTGAGGTTATTTCTGTCCCCTGTTCTGTGATGTTCCTTGAGCCTTGGTAAAAGGTTTGATATAGAGTTCCCTTTTAGGGCTGATTACTTAACAGTCATTTAATCTCAACACTTTGACCAGTTAAGTGTTTCTGTACTGACCACTGCTCCCTGAAGAAAGAAACTTCTCTGACCAGGGTTGAGAGCAGCACTAGTCTATGTGTATGAGCATAAATATTCAGCAGGCAGTTAAAATGAAACAAAATAAATGCGGATTGCGATGGTTTCAGAGCAAGTTTGACGAGCAGATGTTTATTTGAAAAGTACTCATGAGACAGAGTCAGTCTCGTACCACTAGGCAGGGAACTGAGAGAGAGCCGCATGCTTGCGACCCTCATATTTAAGGTCTTGCTACCTCACTCTGACCACGCCCAAGTGTGCGTGGTCTGTGTCACCTGTGCCAGCCTCCAAGAGGGCATGGCTAACATTTCCCCCTACAGGCAGTTTCACAATATGTTCATTTAGCCAAACAACAGTAACAGGTTCCCCACGTGGGCCTATCCTCTATCTCCACAGATATGGACTTCTGGCTAGGTTTACAGCACCAAATATAAACACTCTTGCATGAGGCAGTCCTCTAATCTAATCAGACAGCCATTGGTTAGCCTATAGCACTCATGCTACTATTGCACCAGAGGGTTTACCTTTTCTGAGGCATGAGGGGTCTTTCTCTCTCTCTTTCAGCAGGGTCTCACATGGTGCCCTGACTTGCCTCAACTTCCGGGGCTCAAAGGATACTCTTGTCTTAGTTTCCTGAGTAGTTGAGACTGTTGTGTACTTGTCACCAGCTATGGGATGCCAGCCGTTCGTTCCATCTGTGGTTTCTCAGCCTTCAGAATGGTGAGGTTATTCTCTCTTCTTTGTAATTTACTCTCCTTTGGCATTCTTTTCTGGAGGTCTAAAACTGACATGCTCCAATCACTAAACCTTTGGAGATACAGGCTACTCCATTCAGCATGGTGTTCTCCAGGCTCATCCTATATCACATATGTGACAGGGTATCCAGTTTTCAAGGTGAAAATTCATTTTGCTGTATGTGTAGGTAATATTTTCCTTGTTTATTTGTTTTGGTAGACACTAGACTGTTATTTGTGTTTGGTAGACACTAGACTGTTTTCACTTCTTGGCTGTTGTGTGTAGATGGAGGTTCTGTTCTGCCTAGTCCCGCCACCCTTCAGTCCCAAATAAATACACAGAGTCTTATATTAATTATAAAACTGTTTGGCTGATGGCTCAGGCTTCTTACTGGCTAGCTCTCCCTTAATTATTAACCCATAACTATTAGTCTATGTATTTCTACATGGCCTTATCTTACCAGAAAAGGCTCCAGCATGTTACTCCTTCAGTGGGCTATATGATGTCTCCTGGCAACAGCTCTCTGTGTCCTCTCCCCAGAATCCTCCTCATCTCACGGTCCTGCCTATACTTCCTGCCTGGCTACTGGCCAATCAGTGTTTTATTCAGCAACCAATAAGACAAACATATATGGAGAAGGACATCCCCCATCAGTTGTGAATGGTACTAACAGGCTTATAACATGAAAAGAGCAGGGGGATTTTAGGAGTGGAGTTGGTAACTTCATATGGGATTTTAATGTTTGTCTGCTGAGTACTGTCCCAAACACCTTCCAGTAGTGATCCAGTTCCCTGTCCCCATCTTCTTGCCAACACTGGTTAGGCTGGTATGGGTGTAATTTTGATCTCTCTGTCTCTGTCACACACACACACACACACACACACACACACACACACACACACACACACACACACGCACCCACACATGCATGTCCACATGCATATGTATGTGGAGGCCAGAGGTTGATATTAGGTGTCTTTCTCAATCACCCTCCACCTTATTGAGACAAGGTATCTCACTGAAGTTCACCAATTAGTCCAGTCTGGCTGGCCAGCAAGCTCTGAGCATCTTGCTTCTGCTTCTCCAGCTTGTTCACAAATGTCCATTTCTGCACCTGGCTCTTTGTATGGGTCCTACTCAGGTCTTCATGCCTGGGCAGCAAGCACTTTACTGCCTGGGTCATCTTCCCAGCCCTTGCTTTCTTTCTGATTATTTATTTTTTTTGAGATTGGGTCTTACAATGTAACTATGATTGGCCTGGAACACACTACATAGCTCAAGATGGCTCTGAACTCCTAGTATCCATCCTGTCTCAGCCCTCTGGGCTTGATTTACATTTTTCTGATGCTTTATTCCAGCCCATCCCTGATTAGAGTTACATTTTGAAGCTACTGGCCCTCTGCCCATGGTTTCAGGCTATTCCTCTGTCTATTCTTGGTGTTGAAGGCTCTTACTGCATGCTATGAGCTCTGAGCCATTGTGAACATCCACAGTGGCTTCCTGTGTCATTTCACTCAACTCCCTCCCTTGTTTATGAAACATCCTCTCCAGTTCACTCCACTTCTCCAAAACTTCATCTGTTTAGTGTCTTCAAGGGACCAAAGTTCACTGACAGCATCCAGGGTGGCAGGAGAGCTTGACACTTAGACCCATGAGAGTTTTCTTCTTGGGCATCCTGAGGTCTTCTTGGCAATTTCGGCTCCACGTTAGGATATTTGGGTTCATGATAACTGCCAGCTTACAATGGTTCCCAGAGCCCTGGAGACCTGGACATGGGATGTAGCATCCTCCATACCTCTTCTGAGATATGCTAAGAGGTCAGATATTGAATTTTCAGCTGAGGATGGCTGATCACAGCCTTCCATCCAGTCCAAATCCATTCTCCTGCACCTCCCCAGTAAAGTACCCTAGAGAAACTCACAGAGCAGTCAGCCTTGTGAGCAGTCATATCTTTAGCATTCTGCAAATGTCTATGGAGTTTCTAAAGGTCAACAGAGGAAGCCATGGTCCACAGAAGAAGCTGTGGCCAGGTCCTGTCACCATAGGATCAGATGCTCTATGTAGCACTGTAGCTGCTTGGATGTCCCTCCCTCTCCATAGACTGTTTGCAGAAACCAGAATGTTCTCTAAGCCAAAATGTGCTGTAAGAGCCTAGGCTCCAGTAGAATTGCCAGGAACTCTTTAGGGATTTATTAACTCACTAATGGAAGCAAGTAATTGCATTCACATGGTATGAGCCTCCCTCTGAGAACAGGAGCCCCAGAAAGAAACAGGACAGATGGGGCTGTCTGCTCAGACAGAGCTGGAGACTTGCCTAAGGACCCTGCTAGACTGTCATCCAACCTGTTAGGGCAGGTCCCCATTTGTCACACAGGAAGCTCCCTGAGCCTGGCTGTCTAGGAAACGGTCCCCTAAACCAAGCCCAGCCCATCTGGCTCACTCTGTTATTCTGTGTGGCAGCAATGGTTATGAAAACCCAGTGATGCCAGAGGCTCTTCCAGACTTACTGCTTTACCCTGTGAGCCCAAACTGTGTGACAAGTGATGTTTCATCAC